GTAGTCATAAATGTACCCATATTACCTCCATATTATTTACAAGTTAAAAATCAAACCGCTAGCCTCCCTCTTCAGCTAACCAGTGTCAAATGTACTACTAAATTAACAGTCCAATAAATACCCTGTTATACGAAAGAACATGACAGTTGAACAGAACATGACATTTGAATGAATCAAGAATTTAAAATAAATCAGTCACATAACAAAAAAACTCGTTGGGTAAAGATAATTCCTGGCAAATAAATTCACACATCGCAGTGACGTAACTGACACTCCACTCACACCCAACAAGCCGAATCTTGGCAAATAAGGACTAACTCAACACTCTGCGGCATTCGGCTTTGGACCTACTGGGAGGACTTTACTACAGCACACATCTACCGCCAAGAAGACAGCCATATTTTAACAGCGAAAATGAAATAAACATGACTTCGAACACAAAAATAACCAATCATAACGTCTCTCACGGACTATTAGAATAAAAAGCACTTACAAATAGCGCTGTACAGGGCCTTTCGCCGTGGATTACACGCTGGACTCGTCGGAGATTCCCGGTCAAGAGTTAGACACAATCCAAGCTCATCAGATCCTGACAAAAAGTACACTCACTGTAAAAACAAATTCCGTCAAATTAATAAAAATTGCCAGCTAATTTTTGATGCCGATACAATTAGTGTTGTCTTCCATCACGGTCACAGCATTAACTATCTATTACGTGCATGACAGTAATGAGGCCCCAAGGTTTTCCCCGTAACTTGACCTGGGTAGAAGCATGGCAGAAAACTGTAACTCTCAGTCACTGTACTGCACAAGATGCACGGATACGGGTATTGTTCCGGAATCAAAAATTAGCTGCCATGTTGTCTGTAACTTGCGACGGCAAAAAACCGCAACTCTCAATCACAGAGTTGCACGTGACGCACGACGACGGGAATCCTTTAAATTAGCTGGCGTGTTGTTCGCACCTTGAAGCAACGGCCAGAGCTTGTTAAACTGCTCGCTGCAGTGACTTAACAAAATGGACGTCTCAGTGAACAATAAATATAGCATTTTACTAATATAATTATTGTTCACTGAGACGTCCGTTTTATTAGATCATTGCAGCTAGCAGTTCAACAGGCTCTAGCCATTACTGCAAGGTATAGACAACACGGCAGCTAATTTTTAATGTCTGAATGATTCCCGTTGTCACGCATGACGTGCAGCTCAGTGATTGAGAGTTGCAGCTTTTTGCCGCCGCAAGTTACGGACAACACACCAACTAATTTTTGATGCGGGAACAATTCAAAGTAAATATCTAGCGACCATAAAATCTGATTAGGTTGTGCGCCCAAGTTACTTTGAGGAGTTAACGCCAGCTGCGCATCCCAGCGGTTAGCAGGTGCTTAAACACTGTTAGAAATTTGAAGCAAGTGCACACAAGATACAGTATTAGGTAAAACATGTTCATACCTTTTTTTCTCAAGAAATAATTAGTGGGCCATTTCCATCTTTCATGTACAAAGCAATCTCTGATTTTCAGAGCAATAAAGTCCATATGAAGAACTACAGATCCTGGAAAAGCAAAACAGAAAATATGGAATGTGATTAGATTATCAACAGAGTGCGGTGACAGAATAAATTTCCCAATTTCTGCAAACTATGAGTTAGACGTGAGCGCATTGCAAGAGCCTCAGCTTAACTCTCGCGGGAACTAGACAGCAAAACCAACTTGAGACCTATACTACGAATTAACGAAGGAAGTCCGAAAATGCCTTCGAAGACAAAATTGCTGCAATCAATGAGTTTCTGCAAGCATGCTGTCACGAGTTACTTTCAGAAGTTACTGCCAACTGTGTCTCTCAAGAGATAATTACACACTGTGGTAGCAAGAAATTTCAAGCAAGCGCACATAAGATGCAGTACGGAGTAAAACCTGTTCATACCTTTATTCTCGAGAAATAATTAGTGCGCCATGTCCAGCTTTCATGTACAAGGCAATCTCTGATTTTCAGAGCAATCAAGTCCATACGGAAAACTACAGAACCTGGAAAAAAAATAAGTGGAATGTGATTAGGTTCTGAACAGAATGCAATGACAAACTAAACCTCCCGATTTCTGCAAACTATGAGTTATACATAAGCGCAGTGCAGGTAACTCAGATTCATTCTGGCAGGCACTAATCAGTGAAACCAACGTGTGACTTATGCTATGAAACCATTTTAACAAGGCAAGTTCGAAAAATACCTTTCAAAATGAAATTTCCACATTCAATGAGTTTCTTCAAGCCTGCTGTCACAAGTTAATTTCAGAGGTTACTGCCAAGTGCACCTCCCAGAGATAGGTGTTCGAACACTGTGTTAGTAAGAAATTGCAAGCAAGTGCACACAAGATGCAGCACTGAGTAAAACATGTTCGTATCTATTCTTGAAAAATAATTACTGGGTTACGTCCAGCTTTCAAGTGGAAGGCAATGTTCGTAACCTGCACAGCAATCAAGTCTATATGAACAACTATAGAACCTCGAAACAAAGAAAAACAAAAAAAATGTGGAATGTGGTTAGGTTCTGGACAGAATGCAATGACAAACTAAACCACCCGATACCTGCAAACTATGAGTTGCACGTAAGTGCACTGCAGGTGCCAGTGTGATTTAAGAAAGCTGTAAACCCAAATGAAATCACTTGAAAGGGGCCAGGACACAGAAATTAGGCAAGTTAGAGTTTTCATTACATGATAGCCCCATAGGTTACTGGGCATACAGAAAACACTTAAGAATATTTAAAGTTCCAATAATTACAAAAATATATCTTTTAATGTTTCTGATTTTTATCTGCTGACCAGGATACCTGGGTGACCAGGCGATGCCTGAGCATCGGACTCTGAGAACACCAAAGCTCACTGCAAGGGACCGCATACTAGCATTTAGCGGTACACTGTCGAGATTGCGGTGCAAACTGCAGGAAACCTATTACATAATGAAGGAAACCTATTACATAATAAAAAACAGACCATCTTGAGTAAGCCAACCTTCACTGACTCCAACGAACAGTGAGATTCATTTTCTGAATCTTGGTTGGCATGTGGAGTGTGCAATGAAGAAGAAGGAAGTGCAAAATCCACGGTGCGCCTTATACCCGAGCGAACATAGTGCCATCTACACACTCCAATGAAAAATCAGTTGTTAGTAAGCACTTATCCTATGTAGTCCTTCCTTTTTGTCCTTTTCCCTTTCGTGCTGTTTTTCACGAAGAAAATTTCGAATCCATGATAAAGTGAGAGAATCAAGATTTAGTGAGGAAAGTTTTGATATTAAATGACAGTGAGATACATGATCGAAAGCCTTAGAGTAATAAAAAAATATGGCATCATACTTGGGAGTTAGTGTTCATATTAACATGAATATCACGGGTGAACTCCAGCAACTGCCTCTAGCATGAATATCTTTTACGAAACCTGTACTGATTTTGGTAGAAAAAGTTGTTAGTAGATTCCAGATGCGATACTACATGAGAAAATATTTTGAGTTCTAACAACTTGCATACAACGCTGGTTAATGATACGAGACGGTAGCTTCCCGCAGAGTGACGATCGCCACTTTTGTAGATTGGAACGACCTTCCCAACCTTCCACTCGGGTGGGATGCAACCAGTGGATGAATGCTGGAAAAGTAGACTGCATATTACTGCGTGCTTAGGGGTAGCCCAGGGGGCACCGCGCCCGACTGTCATGCAGAGGTCCCGGGTTTGAATCCTGGGACCGGCAGATGTCTTTATTTATTCCTAAGACGATGCTTCTAGAAAATTTGATAAGGCCGTGGTTAATTCTAGAACAGAATGTTCGAGTACAGAATGTTCGAGTACAGAATGTTCTAGAAAGGAGAGTGCTATAAAAGAAGCCCCGCGTGGCCTTATGCAATCAGTTATCGCTTGTGCTCGACCCTGTTGTATTGAAGACACTCGACGCCTCCGACGCGCTGTTATTTCCCTTTAATTTGGGCAAAGTTCGCCCCATTAAACATTCATTTTGTTCAGTTTTACTTCGCCTCGTCACCTATTTTTTGTGACAACCCTTGGTATTTTTTAGAATTTTTGTATTAATTGAGTCGACACCAGCCAAGCTGAAAATTTTGAGGTTATCATTAATATCGCAATTTCAGACGATGTTATAGAAATAGGGTCCATATACCTAAAATCTACATCTGGTACAAAAGGTAAAAAGGAACTATCTCCATCAGTAAAAGTAGACTAAAAGCAATTGTTCAAAACCGTAGGACATTCATTGTCCGAAATAACAGCGCCATCATTGTTCATCAAGAGTATTGAACGGGATGACTGATATGAGGAAATAAGTTTCCAAAACGTTTTTGGTTATTCTATAATATTGAAGGCAGTTCACAGTTATAAAATTTGTCTTCGAAGAAATGCACACGTTCGATACAGAGTTTGGCCGAAGAGTTATATTTGGTCCAGGCTGCCTCGAAATTCGAGTTTTTGGCTATCTTAAATAGTCTTTTCTTTCTTTTGCCCTAGCTTTTAAAATCTTCCATGTACCAGGGTTTAGTGCTGTCTAACCAAATACGAACGCATAGAACAAAGGCAAGAATTCTAGCAACTTTTGTTTGGAAAGTAACTAGTTGTCATTAACTGTAGAATCAAAAAAATTTACAACATAATTGTCAGAAAATTTCAAGAGAGCTGTGTTAAATTTGGCCATCACTGGGCCACAATACCACTAGCAGACATTAGTTGCTAGAATGACAGCAAGCTGAAGTTTTCAAATAACCAACCTGCAGAAAAAAGATGTTTGAGTGCTCCATCACGGCTGTGCTAGCGTGCCTCGAATGACCGGCATGGGATAGCGGCTTTTGTAGAGGCATCGCAGCTGACGACCAATGTTGGCGGGCTCCTAATGCTCCTAACTTGAAATACACCAGGACGGGTTGTGCGAGCCGCTGTTTTCCCGTGGTTGGCTCGAGAATGATCGGTTCAGTGGCGTCCCATGGTCCGTCCAGCACATGGGCCCGTCATTGCTGGCGATGCTCAGAAGTATAGACTGCAACAAAAATATGTGTAAGTGCTCCATCATGGCTGTGGTAGCGTGTCCCCCCCCTCCGATTTCAGCTTTTGGAGCGGGTAATTCTCGTTCATCACCTTGTAAAAAGCGATGCAAGTACTATAGAAAACCCCGCAGTTCCTCAAAGTGCCATAAAAACTATTTTAACTGTGATTATAACACAGACAAATATTTACAGCAAAAAGATTGTTGTTGGAAGTGTTGTAATAGAAGGGGATAGAAAGTAAAAACGCAAAATACCTTTAAATCTCGATCCATTTACTAAATCAGTTCAGTCTTCGACAACTGCAGGGCAATAAAACTATTTTAACAGAGCGAATAAACTACACGTCGTAACATGCACTTTTCCTTAAAGGGGTGGTGAACCGAAATTTGGATTTCAGAAAACAATGCAGGAGCTGTAGATGGGACGCTACAATCCTTACAACACTACTCGTAAGGCGATATTTCGAATGGACGGCCGTATATTTGGAAAAAGAGATCTAGATTGAACGAGGCCAACGAGGGACGTGGAGTCAACGTATCTGGTTCTTTCCTCTCTTCGCTTTGCCCCATCAAGGCGACGAGGCGAGGAAGACGCAAGAAGATTCCCTCTCCTTCTCGACTCTTCTCAAAGAAACAAGACGTCAACATATCTGTCACATGCGCCTCCTTTTTTAAAAAAAATATGGTTGAGATATCGCTATATGGGTGATCTTTTGGTGTTTGTAGCATCCCGTTGCACGCTTTTGCTGCCGTGTTTTGTGGAATCCAGATTTCGGTTCAGCATCCCTTTAAAATGGAAATATAGCGAGGAAGAGTCATACGAGTGTTCCTCAAGTAATCGGGGCCACTGAAACAATGATTGACACCTCACTTCCTCCCATGCAAAGCATCAATAACCATTCCAGCCAAGGGGAAGCAACTATAAAGGAAAAGTAAAAGTTGAACACTTATCTCGGAAAGTGGCAACTTTTCGCTCGAGCACATAATTTAATAGTTGCTTTTACGTAGGGAAATATAAGCGAGTAACTTGGTGTTCCTTAATTTCATAAAAGGACAAAATTGTTTCCGTCTATGGCAGTGCTCTCTCAGGTCACCGTGGGACAGAGGTGGTTTGTGTACCTCAGTCCTATTTATTATCGAGCGGTAACACATCATATCCGCTGAAAGTATTTAATAAATCATAGCGGCCAAAGCAGGTGGCACGTCATCGTCTGCTTCCAGCCAGCATCTAATGATGTTGTTGGCGCCATCCTGCGGTATGTTATGCAAGCACGGTCGTCGTTCGCCCGCTAGGCCTACCGCGAAACGAACGAACCACCGGTCTCTATGACAATTGCCGGATCACGCATCCCCACTTGCTCGCTGCAGCGCAAGTGCGGCCACCGAACAACCATCTTGCACATTGAAAAATTGTTTTTGGAACGTGGTGGAGGGTGGCGGCAGCTAGCTGAAGACATGTTTTCTACTTGTTTGTCGTCATTTGCCAAACAAGTTTTTTAAAACCCTGTGTAAGCCGTGAAACTTACCGTTGAGGAAACGTGGAAATTTTTACGGCAGCAGAGTGCCACAGGAAAAAGGCACAACTTGTCGAAAGCACGTTTCACCGGTCTAGCAGCGTGATCAAAGCTTCCCTGGCCCACAAAAGCACTGCGTCTCTGCGCCTTCGCATGCTCGGATGACAATAAAGAATCGACGTGTAAATGTGTTTTACGAGTGCAATGTGTGTAAAGCCATATGTGCTTTTGGAGCAGCATTTTACTTTGCCCCGACGACTGTACAGGGTGTCACAAAAGAAAATTTACACGGTCTTTTTTACTGCAAAAATTAACTAGGCATCATCGAACGCTCATTCTCTGCCGAAAGATGGAGCTAGAGGTCACAACCGGATGGCAAAGTTTCAGCCCGATCCGATAACTTAATCAAAAGTTATAAGCGATTTTTTGAAAATTTCAATGGGAAAATGGTTGCCGACAGAATTTTCAAACACATGGGGCTCTATGGCACCAGAAACCGAAAACGGGCAAAAATGGGCTCCATTTTCCCATTGAAATTTTCAGAAAATCACATAACTTTTGATTAAGTTATCGGATCAGGCTGAAACTTTGGCATCTGGCTGTGACCTCTAGCTTTACCTTTGGGCGGAGAATGAGCGTTCGGCGATGCCTAGTTTATTTTTGCAGTAAAAAAGACCGTGTAAATTTTCTTTTGTGACACCCTGTATTTGTAACTTCCGGCACTTGCGGTCCAGAAAGAGCTTGATCCAGTGGCCAGTGGCAACGAACGAGGAGGGAAAGGTACACATCATGTTACTGTTAGCCCGAACACGACATCGGCACATTTTACTTCCAATTAGTATTAGCGAGCACGAAATGTTTTTGCTTACATTATATGAGCTCTTTCCGTAGCAATAATAACTTGGATGACATCCCTTGGTTTCAAAGAGAAAAACCGGAAAAACCAGCGATTACTAGTTCGCACAAACTGTGTCGCACTCAGTACGTCTTTTTTCGTTGTTAGACTATTTACAGAATATTGTGCACGATAGCTCCTCATCACTGATTAGTGCTGAACCATTATAAGCCTACTTTATTGCACTTGACGTTTGAGCGCGACTCGCCTAATTGTGATTGGCCAAGGAACTGCACACGACCGTATGGGTCGCGCTTCAAAACTTTTAATTCTCGCTGTCTTGTAGTTTTGCCTTCGAAAACCAAACTTGCTCCACAGCGTTGCTCTATTTGTGCTGCCACGTGATCCATTAGAGCAGATATGGAACATGGTTAATAGTGCATAAGAGCAACCGTCCATATTGTTTTCCCCCTTTATTCAAAGCAACTTGCCGGAACAGCTGGACGACCCAGAACTCCGTGCTCGATATATGATGCCCAAAAACATCTACGCGCGACACACCTTCAAAACTTTGCCGCGGCGCCGATTCTTGATCGGTATCCAAGCGCGCGAAGGCAGAGAGACGCAGCGCTTCGGCGTGCCAAGGAAGCTTTGATCACGCCGCGGTAAACTTGATTTCGACGAGTTGCGCCTTTTTCCTACGGCACTGCGCTTCCGTAAAACTTTTGACGTGTTCTCAACGGCAAGCCTCACGGCTTACACAGGGTTTTAAATAACTTTTTCAGCGAATACCGACGAACCAGTAAAACACGTAACTTCAGCACGCTGCCGCCAGCCTCCGCAACGCTCCAAAAAGGCAATTTTTCGACATGTAACATGACCGTCTGGTGGCCGCATTCGCGGAGCGGGGATGCACGATGTGAAACGAACACACCACTGCCTAAGACAAGAACTTTTTTTTTTTTTTACATAGATAAGTAGACTAAAGAAAACATGACATCCCATCTTTAAATTTCAGCACGCGAGAGCGCCCATCGTAATTATTCAACGAGTGCGGTTCAGTGTTTTCGATTTCTTCCGTTCTTCTTACGGCGCCGGAAAGCGAAAAGGTACGAACAAAAAGTGTTTGGAAGAAACCAGAGCAAACCGAACTCCCATGGATATGAGCCCTTGTCCTGGACACATCAATCGAGTCGAGTCTCATGCGAGGATGCGTTGCCCTCGTGCAACTCAGTGGGGAAAGCAGAAGCAACAAGGTTGAGCGCGTTTTCTGACAAAACACGCGCTATCGCGTTAAGTTACGCGTCTTTCATTCCTTCTGCACTTCGATTATCTCTCAAGGCTCATGCGAAAATGAGCTACTTACCTTTTAAGTGCGGTTGAATGGTGACAAGAGGTCGCGGCAACGAAGTCACGGAAGAGCTGCTGTCGGCGAGCCTACGCAGCGGTGTCGACGGTGCGCCCAGTAAACATCACGTGACAGACGTCTTCATCCGCGAGCTGAGTGCGCCGGCTTTCGGGTAGGCCTCCCTACGCCGCTCCGATGGCGAAATGCCCTAAAGCAAAGAGATCTCGCCTCGACGGCGTCGGCGTTTTGCCGCGCGCGCCCGCGCGCGCCTCTCAACGCTTTCGTCTCTTTTTTTTTTTTTTTTTCTTTTTTTTTAGTGTGTGTGTTTTGCGTGCTGGGCTCCGTCACTCCTAAGCTGAAAGTGTAGAGGAAGCTAAGGGGTGCCCGGTGAACTAATCGCACGTCTGTCTTTAACCACGTGATCACGCTCCCTCCTGTAACCACGCGCAGAGAGCGAGGCAGGTGATAACTGGTCCGGTGGGCGCTTAGCTTGCTCGACACTGTCAGCTTAGAAATGAAGGGAGTCCTCCTTCAAGGACGAGTCCTCTTCGCTTGCAAAGAAGAGATTAGAAGAGATTGGTGATGGTGTAGGGCAGTGTGGGGAAAACGGGAGGGGAACTGTTCTCTCATCACCCTCTCTCTCGCCCTTTCCCAGGGAAAGAACGAGTTCTTGCACCAGGCCGAGCGACCTTGTAAGCATTCCGTTTCGAGGCCGTCGGTGCGTGCGCCTTCCCCCCCCCCCCCCCCCCCCCCTTTCCGTGCGGGAGAAGGGCGCTCGAATTCTTTCGTTTGTCTCTGTTGGTATTTGCTTGCCGGGTATCCAATAAACCAATGTGGTAGAGATTGCTTAAACATGACAGCTCTAGAGCAAGAAGACAAAAAGAGTCTGGCAGACACGACGCTCCGAACTCAGCTTGAAGCCTAATGTCAAAATTAAAAAGAGAATGATAAATCAAATGTCTCCCAACGAAAAAAAAAAAAAAAGAGGAAATATGATGTTCAAGAAAATCGTCAGCCACTTTCGCGTTGCCTCGGAGCACCAGCGAAGCTAACTAGGTTATGCCTCAAAATAAACAAAACAACAAAACATGCCCGCCAAAAAAAAAAAAAGAACATGCACGCAAACATGTGGATTGCGCCAGATCGGTAGTCTAAAATACCAACCACATGTGGGCGATCGTACGGGTGTAGCATTATAGCCTCACGTGCAGAATCCCTGTGCGAGCTTCAACCAGCATTGTTCCATGTCTTAACCTAATATGTTGAGGGTCTACAAATGACGGCATGATTACGTTACACACGCTCGCGTGCACACTTACCGTCTCTTAATTAAAAGCAGAAGGCTCAGCCGTCACGGTGAGGACCCGGCCGTATGATCTGGGGATTCGAGTCATGGGCTTCTGATCAAGCTAGCCTTTTAAAGGCGGGGCTAAAGGGTGGGGTGTCAGTCGTGGGGCATTTGGCAACTTCTTTGTGCTCGCTTCTTTTTTTTTTTTTTTGTGTTTTGCGTTTTGCAGCTGACGTTATTTCCGGCTAAACTCTAAACCAAACACGACGTTATCGTCTGCTATCAGTGCCTTGGTGCCATGTTGGAGGCATTCGGAGTGTTATTGTGGCAGCAGTAGTGCCGTAAAGTCATAGAGCCGTCCTTGTATAACCACGCTTCAGAATATGTTCTTGTCCTGTCAATCGCAACGGGGTTCTTCAGTGGATACGAAATGGAGTTCATCAACCCGTAGTTAGAGCACGAAGCTTTTCTCTCGAGGTCGTAAAGTCAACATAATAATCTGGAGCGAAAGGTCCCACGCATTTGGTCGCGACGGAATGACGAGGCATTGACGCAGACATCGGCAGCCCCATTTGGCGGCCCCGATGAGCCCATATCGAGACATTTCTTATCGTAGTTTTCGGTTTCCAGAAACAAAGATACGGTCTTCATATCAAGATCGGCAATAAAATAAAAGAAATTCTTCATTAACCCTTTGCTCATGTGTAGTCATAAAAGGATGTACTTTTATCCGAGTCTCTGAAAAAAAGTGCTGAGGTTTCGTACGGGACATCGAAAAGCTTTTGTCCGGCAGAGCTCTTGTTCGGGATCCATGGATTCATCAGTGACGATGTTTACATCGCCCGCACGGATTATAGTCACGTGACCTTGTGACTATTATATGGAGCGCTATTTCCACTGTGGTTACGTGGTGGCTCCAATCTGTTGTATGGTTACAGACGACCGACCGGCGGACCGTTACGGACGCGTAAAGTGCGCTGGGCTCGCCCATAAATGCTATCGCAAAGCAAGCTATGTTGTGAAACGACACAACGCTCGTTTTGATGAAATCGTCGATGGGACAGCGCAATGTCGACGAGACGATTTTGTCGATAAAGCATCCTCCAACAAACTGATTGCCATAGCGGATCAAACACGTCGATAAAACCCATTTTCCGGATTGCTAGTTGGAGGGGTTAATTATCATATGATATACGTAATACCGAGGCAAGAGAGAGCGGGTGCACTACTGAACGAATGCCCCCAATAAACAAGAGCTCACGCGCTGAAAGCATCCGCCACAGTAAATATATTCAAACCAACACGTCCAAACAAAAAAAAAAAAAAATACATTGGAGAGTGTTGACCATTTTACAGCGATAGCTCTTCGAATCTCTAAAACCCGCGAACGGTTCCACTTGCCTTCACTACAAAAACAGATCTCAGCTTAATATTTGAATGATTAACTGCCGTAAAATACCAACCTTTGAAAGACTAATCGAAAATTATTCATTCAGTTATTAGCGCACCCTTCCCGCGGATATTTATTTGTTCTATTTATTTATAAAAGGCCTACAGTGAGCAGAGGGCATTATTTTAGGGATTAATTTCGTACATAAACTATTAAATTGTCACAGATAGAGAAACACAGCGTCCGACTACATAAAAGTCCAGTTGTCAAATTGCAAAAAAAAAAAAAAAAAAAAAAAAAAACAGGAATAATAAAAAGGAACACGATGCATCAAGAGCACAGCACTCAAATGTCACGCCAATATGGCACTATACAGGTATCACTGGTGACCAGTATTCTCGGAGATCACTCCAGTCACGAATCAATTTTTTGGGAAAAAAGAACAAATAGAAGATTATTCAAACAATTACAATCTGTTTCTAAAAGTGGTAGCTTACGTTAAAAGTACTTACGCTACTTTCGCGAGCACTCTGCTCGTGAAATAGATGCGGGTGGCTTCCAGCTTTTCTCCTGCACTTCAAAATACTACTACAACACCAAACTATATTTCCGCGCGAATGCTGCACGTGCCCGAAGCTTGTCCTTAAACAGCGAAGGCTACCGGCACGAAAGTGCAGCCTTCAGAGGTGTTTTCGCGGAATGACCGCTTGCGCTAGAAATTTCTGTTTCAAAGGGAGGATTTCGCGCTCGCCCGCGCGAGTCGCTGACTGGTTGGAGCTAGGAGCACGAGGAGCGCAAGCTCATTCTACAGAACGTGCTATGAACACCAGGAATACTTCGTCTCACCTCAGCATGGACCATTGTTGGTCACACGTGCTAAAAGCGCGAGCTAATTGTTTTGGATGACGCCTCGGCGGGCACACGAGCGCTCGCGGATGCACAAGCACTGAAACAGCATCTGCGGTTCATTCGGAGGTGAAACTAAGTATAGCGCGTGATGCACGTTAACGACCTCAGGTTAGCGGTCGTGCTGCACTAGCTACGCGTGTCTCATGTACACCGTGAACCAGTGTCGCAAATCTTGAAAGGCAGACCGACTTCACGCCGAATAATCTCTCACGAACAGTTTGACCTTTGAATCGAGTGTACACCAACTCATTGCGTGTAAACAAGCACGCGTTTGCACACAAGAGCTCCGCGCACGACGCGCTGCATGTACCCATTTTCCGAAGTGTGAAGCGTTCGGCCATGCTCCGTTCAACAGGCTGCACCACCGCCTAAGCGCGACGTCATAGATTTGGTGTAGGTGGGACTCTTGTTTAATTAACGATTCACTCTGGCACATCGACTGTAATTTCGCCCTCATTTGCTTTGAAATAATGTTTTCATCCGAAATACTATCTATAGATTACGAATGACGAGTCACTGATCATTTATACGCCAGGCGAGCACGGGATGGCGGCCCCTCTCATTGGAAATGCACCGGTGATTTTGGCACGGGTGTTTATTTCAAATTTATAATATAAGCAGTCGTGACCTGTCCTATCAAAAAGATGTTTGCTTTTCTTGGCAGCAATGACAGCAGGGTTGCACAGAAGCATATATGCATTTAAGCACGCCCCTTATTATAGGGAAAATTTAATCGAGAAAATTAATTAAGGTAAATTAACGTAAAATTCTTTTGTATAAAAATAAAAAAAAAATTCTGCCATATAAGTGCACACGTTAGTACTTAAATGATTGTGTTGTTACCCATGAAGCGCGCCAGAAAGACCTTCTTGAGAAAAAATGTGAAACAGATACTTTTATAAATATATTAATTAATTCATTTGTGTATTTTCCGTGTTCACAAACATAACAAATAATTTATCGTTGTCCTATATATTTATGCATAATTGCGCATGGAATACTGTAGTATTTTGATTTGCACGAGATGGCGCTACTTGACACCTCCTTTTTAAAGTAGCCATCTCGTGCATCCATGTAAAATAATAAAAAGGACAGCACGCGACGGCGTGAGCCGCGCGTGATCTGCGGCCTCATCGGCCAGTGTTCGCCCCGCTCCTGAATCCGTTGGTTGTCTTTTCTTCTCGCTCCGGCGACCGTCCAGGTCCGCTCGGGGCATGTAGTTTCCCGGCTACGTCGAACGTAAGTCACCGGCGCTTGCGTCCAATGTAGTCAGCACCGCCGCGTCGGCGCAGAATATAACATTTTGGCGACGAGGATGGGATATTTGTTTTAATATGTAGCATTTCCTCTTTTGTAACCCGGGATTCGGGAGGGGGCTTCACTCCGCGTCGCGGGTCAGTGGTTGAGGAAACCGGCGCGTAACTGTATTCATGAAATGTATTCCTTTTTGTTCCGGGTGAGCGGTAGTCATATTTTGCGG